GAGAAAATGTGTCCCGGATGATGAAATCCAAGCTTTGTTAAAGGAATGTCACGCATCACCGTACGAAGGCCACTTTGGTGGACAACGTACGGCCGCTAAAATTTTACAAAGCGGATTTTTTTGGCCTACCATATTTAAAGATGCTTTTGAATTTGTGAAGAGTTGTGATCAATGCCAACGCATGGAGAATTTGTCCCAAAGAAACGAGATGCCCTTGAACAATATTTTGGAAGTTGAACTTTTCGATGTTTGGGGCATTGACTTTATGGGACCATTTCCCATGTCTTTTCATAATCAATACATTTTCCAAATGGATAGAAGCAAAGGCTTGCCCAAGAAATGATGCCAAAACAGTAGTGAAATTTTTGCATAAAAACATTTTTGTTCGTTTTGGAGCACCCCGAGCATTGATAAGCGATGAAGGGACTCATTTCATAAACAAAGTGTTAAGTACCATTCTTGAGAAATACAACATCCGACATAAAGTTGCCACGACTTACAACCCACAAACCAATGGTCTTGCGGAATTTTCAAATCGTGAGATAAAAAATATTTTAGAAAAGGTGGTTAAGCCAAATCGTAAAGATTGGTCGCTTAAATTGGATGATGCACTTTGGGCCTACCGTACCGCTTTCAAGACTCCATTAGGCATGTCTCCATACCAACTTGTTTTTGGAAAATCTTGTCACCTTTCATTAGAGTTAGAATATAAGGCATTTTGGGCTATTAAGGAGCTTAATCTAGATGCAACTCTAGCGGGAGAGAAAAGAAAGCTCCAACTCAATGAGTTGGAAGAGTGGAGGTACCGAGCCTACGAAAATGCGAAAATTTACAAAGAAAAAACAAAACTGTGGCATGATCGTAGGATCAATCAAAGAATTTTTGAAAAAGGTCAAAGAGTGCTCCTTTTTAATTCTAGGTTGAGGCTTTTCCCCAGGAAACTCAAATCTAGATAGTCGGGACCTTTTACTATTGTTGAAGTGGGAAAGTTTGGAACTATCGATCTCTTAAACCCACAAGACAATACGGTTTTTAGAGTAAATGGGCATCGGGTCAAGCATTTCTTCCCGGAAGGAATGCAAGATCCAAGCCAAAAATCTCTCTGAAAGATTGTCGAACCTCTTGTTGTAAATAGTGTAAATAGTTTTAAATATTGTACTTTTTGTTTATTTCATGCAGGTATGCTCACAATAGGCATCTCGTGCTCACATTCAACAGTGGGTTTTGGTTTTTATTTTTAAATCTTGGCGGGTTTTTGTGGAACCTTCCAAAGAAAAAGAAAAAGGGAAATTAAGAAAAGACATGAGGTTATTTTTGAAAAAGAGTGATGATGGTTTTTCTGAAAATGGAGGCTTATGTAAGAGAAATGACTTGTACCATGTCATCATTTCTTTCAAATCAATTGTACTCCCAAAGACTTTGCATGCAAAAGTGGGTGGTTTCCTATGCTTTACCCAGCGGTTATCTATGAAAAGGGGGGGGGGGAATTTCATTTTTTGTCTTGACTACTCAAACTCCTCCTCCCCTTTCATGGCACGAACACACAATAACCTCACCGGCCGGCCACCTTACCGACCGCCTACTCGACGAACCACCGGCGAACTGTTGCCGGCGATACACCGACCACCACTTGCGCACCATCAACCACCCCGTCAATGCCCTACTATGTGCCTCTCTCGCCAGACCCCATAGCATTCGCTCCTCCGGCGAGACGTTCATCCACCACCGACGTCGGTCGATCAGCATCTGTGAGGGTCGATTATGATGAATATCACACCGTGGTCATTTCGGTAAGCAACGTTCGAACCCCTCCCCTTTTTACCACTGTTTTCACACAATCCACCATTCTTCACACCACCACCACCATTGGCGCCGGTCCGTCTTCTACACGACCGCCGGCCGCCGCGCCTCTTCCCACACCAAAACCCCTTTTCCTAGCCCTAACCGTCCCACCCCCTATCACCCCTCTATCTAACCCCATCCCACCATCGATTAACCCTACCACCACTCAACAGCCTCCTATTCCCCTTCCCTCAACACCACTCGGCCCACCCACCATACATGGTTTTGACCTAAACCTTAGTGACACTATAGGGGAGGAGTTACAGTTTGATTTTGAAACCAATGCCTCTAGCAATCCTGAGGATTTATTCCCTTTTTCTGTTTATGAGTCATTGGAAGAACCTACACAACAACCCCCTCCGACTCAAACAGAGCCTGAACTTCCTGTTACGGAACCACTAGTTACTGCCCCCAGTGGGCAGACTGTGAGCACAGAAACCTCCTCTGGAAGTTTTAGGAGTGCAAGTTCCGAATATGTTATTCCTCAAACATTACACAAACCAATGCCTGAAGACAGTGACTCTGAGGACGAGATGGCCCAGGACTTGGAACATGCTGAAGATGTGGCCGACGAAGAGGCGGAGCAAGAGGAAAGGGAAGATTTTGATGAAGAGATTCCTGATGAGGAGGTTTTGGAGGCCAGTGTGCCGAAACCTTCGAAGAAGAGAAAGGCAGCGGCAAAGCCGAAGAAACAGGCAGCCCCAAGAAAAAAAGAAAGAAAAGGTGATGCCATTCCAAGAAAGGTACAACCGCATCCAAAACAATAAAATTATTTTAGAACGAGCTTTTGACTCGTGATTGGTCAACAATTTTATGGCAATAAGGCACCATTTGGTGGCTTTGCGGTGGGACAACTTGGTGATTGCCCCTTTACATGCTAACGTAACTTGGGTCACCGAGTTCTACGCTGCTGTTGGCACTACAGGGATCATTTCGGTAAAAATTCGGGGCAAGAAAGTAGATTGGTCGGGGCCCAAGATTAATGCGGCCCTTGGACTCACCCCACCGCCGGAATGCTCATTTTCACAGATTATGAAAGGGACCCGTGAAGTACCCGATGCTGATATCGCTTCTATCCTTACACTCCCTGATCGGGGATGGTCAAGGGACAACCGRCGACAAATGATTTTCGCYGCCCATTTGAACACGGAAGCAGGCCTTTGGTTTCAATTTTTAAGGCATAATTTAATTCCTACTGTGCATGATAGTACCATTTCGAGGGACCGATGCGTCCTCCTCTATTGCATAATGAGCGAGTTGCCGATCGACCTTGGGCCAATCATCCATGCATCCATTTTGGCAGCTTCTCAGAGGATGCATTCTCGCCTGGTCTGTCCGGCCCTTATCACCAAACTCTTGGCCAAGGCTAAGGTCCCTACCTTTGAGGATGATACAATTGTTGTCGGCTCTCCCTTGTTGGGACAGAACACACTCGACCGACGGCATAGAGCCTCTCGGCCCCATTTCAATGTGCAGAATTTAGGCCCGGCCACGAATGCTGCAGAAGAGCCTGTGGCGCCATCAACCGTTCTACAACATACGCCACAGGTCATTCTTTCTGCGCCACAGGTTGCTGTTGTTTTCGAGCCACCCGCTGCTGTCACCGAGCCACCTGCCGTGCACATGTCCGAGCCTCCCGTTGTCCCCATGACCGAGCCCGATGCGGAAATACCAAGATACGGCAATGATGAGGCCAGCCCATCCGAGCCACCTCCAAGCAATCCTTTAGGCTCGGGGTATGGGTCGGCCACATGGCTGTCCGTTTTGGCACTTCAATGGGAAGAAACTAATCAGAATCTGGAAGCGATATTAAAGAAGGTTGGAAGCATTGATGACCGAGTCTCCGATCTCGAAAAGAAGAGTGCTCATTTTTGGGCATACACTAGAGATTGGAACCGGGTGGAAAGACAGCTTTACGGACATCAGGATACCCTCTTGACGGCCCAACTTCCACGGTTCCCCAGCGGTCTTTGCCCTCCTCAAGTCCGGTGCTTCCCACCCTTGCAAGCCCACTTGCCGGTTACGTCCGTTGTTGCTGCACCCTTTGCTCCTGTTCCTTACATTCCTGTTCCTGCTATGTTGCCTACCACGACTGCGATCGTTCCTGCTGTTGCTGTTTCCATTGTGGCTCTCATTGTCCACAGCTCCGAGGCGGCAGATGCAGCCACTGTTTACCTACAGTAAGCAGTTTGGCAGAAAATGGTTAAATTCTCAACTTTTGATCCAACCTCTTTGAATGTTATTTTTGGATATATCTTTTGGGTACTGATACACTTTCATTCCGTCTTTTGTGTATGCTTTGCGGAATGTCATTTTCTTTTGTGTAGATATTTATGACATGGGTGTTGGATTTCATTTTGTTTTGTATAGTCCCCTTATTCATTTCAGGTACAAGCTCCTTGAATGATTTTTCGTAGTGATAAAAGTTAAAAGGATGTAGGCCCTCCTTTTGTTTTTAAACCCAAACACTTTTCCCTTTGCACCCAACCCATGCCGTTTTGGTCCCTTTGGCAACAATGGGGACATTGTCATTATTAAGTTTGGGGAGATGTGTTCAAAAAGAAAAAAATATACCTTTGAAAAATTGGGAGGTATGAAAAAAATATAGAGAAAAGAGAAGGAAAAAAAAAGGATCGGTCTTCGGAAAATTAGAAAACAAAAATAAAAAGCCCGGTATTCCAAAGGGCAAGTTTATGCCAAGATATGGGTCACGAACTTTTTCTAAATACTCAAAAGTGAATCGATGAAAACTTATGTTTCAAACCCTTTTGTAGTATAGGATAAGTTTGGGGGAGGGATACACACTATCATTGAAACACTAACCCAAAAGTCCTACTGATTAACGGCAACACTACGAAGATCAAGCAAGGAAGTTGTACATCCTCTTTACTAGACGAATTTCCAACACCTTCCGTAAGTGTTTCATTCTTGTTCCTTTCTTTTTGTGTCATTTTAATTATTTTTCTTTTAGTTGAGGACAAGTAATACCTCAAGTTTGGGGGTGTGATAACTCTCATTTTGTGAGAGTTATTTGTTGTTTAATACCCCTATTTTATTGTATCTTTGGTACCCATTTTGCTCCTATCTWSTATTTTTGGTSCAAAATATGTTAAGAGGTGATGAAAGGTCAAGAATTTAATTATTTTCTAAAAAACCCATTACTTTTGGTAAATTGCCYACTTTCTGCTCATAGTCATTCTATGGTGGATTTGCATCTAGTTGGATTTGAACAAAATTATAATATTCATGTTTTTGGATATTAATGAGAGTTAATTCTAAGTTCAGATCTAAGCATTAAGTTACTTGGAGGAATGGACCTGGTTAAAGCTAATAAAGACAAGGAAAGTACACCTACTTTTATTATGATGGAAAAACCTTCTTTTCATAATTAATGGGAGTACTTTCACCTTTTACAACCTTTCAAGAAGAAGTAACAAGGCCATAGATTGAAGTAGACTTGTGATGATGGGTGGTCCTTACCCTTTGGACAATGCAGATTTTTATCCATTGGACAAAGAGTATCCGGGCCCCACCTTTCTCCTATATATTTGAAGGCTTTCTCTCATGCTAATCATCAAATTTCCACCAGCAACTTAGCCAAGCAACCATGGAGTATTATCTTAAGCTTTGTAGCAGTAGAACTAGTTTAGTTTCAGTTTGTAATTTAATTTTCGTAGTTCATCTTTTATTCTCGCCACTGGGTATTGTGTGCCCTCTGTGGGCAGCAGTAAGTATTTTATTTTCAGTTCAAGTATTTCTTATGCATTCTTCTTCTTTTATTTATGTTATGTTTTCTAATTTCATTATGAGCTAAGCACCCCTTTGGGTGTGGGTGTGAGTCCAGCTTAAGGATTTAAGGGATAATTTATAACAAAGTTTTCGTGTAGGGCACATTTGGGTGCTGCCATTTTTTATTGATTCTTAAGCTTGGTCATTTAAGTCGGGACTTAACCT